CATCTCCCACAGCTTGGTTTGTTTGGAGGGTGGGGCCAAAGAACTTTCAGTGGATGACTTCCTTTTGAGAGCCGCTGAAGTAAGTTGCGTGTACCCCTCTAGGCGAGTGGGGTGTTTCTTCTGTGGAGAAAATGAAAGCACAGGCACAGATAGAGATTATATCTAGGACTTCTGCTGTATTAATGTCATGCTTGAAGTTCATTAACGAAAGTCAGCCTACAAGTTAGGGAGCGGTTTCACTGGTCTATGCAATTATGTTGAGCAGACCAGACCATTGCCACTTAAAGCCATTTAAGGACCACAAGCAGCTCCTGGCATGACTGAAAAGTAGCATTAAATTCATTTTAAACAGCATTTCGCTGATAGTTGGTAGTTGGGCCTATTACCCTATGCCTCACACAGGCATGCACACACACACACACGCACACACACGCACACGCACGCACACGCACACACACACACACACACACACACACACACACACGCACACACACACACATACACATACAGGATCATGACCATCCTTAGTACATGCTTCATCAACCAGCTGTAGCCTATAGTTTTGCACAATTAACGTACAAATATTACATATAGTAATTATATAAGCTCATATAACATTTGGTTAAAGTCGAATTTCAAATCTGACACAGAGCCCACCAAAGAAGTTTGCAATGTTAAATCACGTTCTGCTACCAAGCAAACCATAGCATATCTTAGCCTTTATCTAGTCATAGCACACTTTGCAAATTTACAATTATTAGTACGTTACTAGGTCACTACAATATTGTCAATAATCGACTAATAATAACAAAAACTATAGCGTTGCACAAATAACTTATACATGTTGCACATGACAATAATATAACCTAAGAAAACATTTAAAATTTGTCAATAGTCGACTGATAATAACAAAATTCCAACCTACCTCAATATGCTTTTTCAGATTAGATGGGGAGTTTTTGAAAGCCATTAGCTCGTGGTACTTGGGTGCGCAGAGCTTGCAGCGCATTCGAAAGGAGCTGTTTTTACATCCAACCATTTCGAAAAATTCTTCCAGGTATGGCCAGGGATGTATAAGAGTTGGCTGGTCTTCCTGGCTACCAACCTCCTCACTGGTGCTTGGTTGTGACATTTCGTTCGAGTCTTGAGCCTCTATCACGGACATCTTCGTCTACTATGCTAAAATGCTAATTTGTTCAAAAGTCCTTGCTGGAGCGTGTGACGTGACGTCATGTGCAGGTGCGATGGATCGCGCACCAACCAATAGGGTGTCGGAATGGTGTGTTTATACTTCTCATCCAACCACAAACAAATTCGCTCCATCCGGATGTCGCGATTTATCCGGATGGTTTTTTTCTTTTTGAATGAAAAGCCGAAATAAAATAGGAGTAACGAGTCTATTTTTAAAATGTAAGGAGTAGAAAGTACAGATAATTGCGTGAAAATGTAAGGAGTAGAAGTAAAAAGTCGGCTGAAAAATAATTGCTCCAGTAAAATTTCTACTTAAGTAAGGTAACGAAGTATTTGTACTTCGTTACTTGAAACCTCTGCTTACAAGCAATGAAATTATCTTAAACATGGTCAACACACATACACTCTAAAACCTGGTTGATATTACTGATAAATACCCCTCTGTTTTTTTCAAGATTAGCTGACCAGGAATTAAGAGGCTTCATAGAAACACTTGCACCTGTATAATTTGGGAAGTGTGCTGTTTTGTTAAACACAATATTGTAATCATCATAAATCACAAACTGCACAAACCTTGCACACTGCAGAACAGAGAGGGGATAAGAAGAGGAATATGCTGCGAAAGAACCACAGATGAAGGTCAGTGAAAACTGTGCTCTGAAGAAAAGAATATTAGTTTGTTTGCTTGCTGTCAGGAAACTTAACTCCTTGCATTTTTATGTTCTGCTATTTCAAGTTTTACCCACTTTTCTCTGCAGTTTTTCACTAAACAGTATGATGCTTTTGAGCTTTGAACCTACTGAGAATCACTAGCTAGAGTGCTATCAACATTCACAGCTATATACATTTACATTACATTACATTTGTGCATTTGGGAGACGCTTTTATCCAACGTGACTTACATTTCAAAGAATGAATACATTTTTTGTCAGTTATTGCTTTCTGTGGAATTTTAATCCATGACCTTTGTGTTTTTAGTGCAATGCTCTACCAACTGAGCCACAGGAAATCCTTACCTTTAAGACTGACAATAAAACTCCTTTATTCCCTGTTGTTCTGTGTATGTGTGACACCTGAACAACGCAGGTTTGGAAAATAACACCATTTTAACACCATGGATTATGGACAGCTCAAGCTCATGCTTGCATTTGTGTAATCAGCTCAATTCACTTTCATTCAGTAAATTTTATATTTGTTGTAAACATGTGAACCTCCATAAATATTTGAATAAATATCAATCATTTATAAATATACCGAAAGATATGTGAATATTATTAGCCCAACTGTATTAAAGGCACTATGTGTGGTGAGAGAATATTCCCCTTTCCATCTTGCTATGCTGGGAATGTTCCCAATAATGGCAGAAACATGGCATTAATGTATCATTTATTGCATTTATTTATTTGAATGCATGAGTTCATCACTTCCATCAAAGAACCACTTTGGCATTTTTTCTTAATTATTCATCATTGAGTATCCTCCTCAGATCCACTCACAATCCTCTCATCCAAAACCAAAAGCTAAAGTGTGGTTTGCTGACACATAAGATGGATGGATGGACCAGGGTTGGTTGGTGTTAGAATAATTATGAAATGTGATTGTAGATGAACTCCATGTGATGTAGATACTAATTGTATGATTTATCAAAAGCATTTATGACTGAAAGAGAGAAATAAAGAGAAAGCAAAAGGGAAACCCAAATATCTCAGAAGCGGAATGGAACCGTTATTCTGACTCATGTACGTTCCGTTCTTGATTTTAGGAAACTGTTGAAGTTTAAAGTGAGAATCCCCGTCCATCTGTTGCTTCATCTGCATAGGAATCTCCAACTCTTCCTTAACTCTGACAAATAAGTGGTGTCCCATTAATAATACGTTTTAACATGACATCAACCCACCCTTTGAACCTCAGCTACAACTCTTTTTAAAAGAAAGTCCAGAATGGGAATTTGACATTAGTGGGACTACACCAAACTCGTAATGCCCCCAACCTTGTTTTGTTGGAACAATAAGAGACCAATCCCAAACTACTCCCCCCTCTTTCTTTAAAAAAAATGTCCTAAATCACATTGAATGTGTGATTTTTCTATCACTCAGGAGAAAGACCCGTAACTAATCTTTTTGTCTTCTTCCTCAAAAAACAAAACAAACATATTTAACCCATGCTAAATGTTGATTACCTCAGATTAATCCTCCAAAGTTGGCATAATGCAGACACCAAACCCAGAATCCATGTTTGGTCATGATTAATCAGAGGATGTATCTCAAAGCTCCTGATTTTAAAGGTCTGTAGTGATTGTCATTCCCATTCTCCTTCCACTTCCACTTTGTAATACCAACTATGGGAAATATTTAATAGCCAGGTGGTATCCTTTCACAGTACCTCACTGAGCTCCTGAGTGCTGCCATTTCAATTCAATGATTTAAAAAGCTTTTTTTTTTTTAATTATAACATTTGAAATTGAATCTAGAAAAATGTGAATCTAAATGTTGTATCAAATCAATACAAATCAAGTAAGAAGGTGTTACGAGCTGGACTCGTGGAACTAGAAAATGGGGCAGAACTCAGATGCACAGTACAGCAGGTCCTTTATTTTACAGAAAGAAAACATAAAATAACCGTAATAGGGCTAAACCTCACATAACATAAACTCTGGAAACAGCTAAAGCAAACTAAAATGAAACATCAGACCAGGAACACAAAATAAGAGAAACCAAAGTAACAATTCAGGAATAGCGCTTGGAAAATAACCATAAAAGGAAACAATGCCACATAAGGCGCTATAGCGTTCCGTTACTGCGCTGTGTGAGCAGTATAATCCCGCGCCGAGACAATGCCAAAGGGAAAAAAATAGAGACACTGAAAGGAGACACCTGGAAACTGGAACGAGAGACAGCTGCAGAAAATGAAATCAACGAAGGAGCGCGGGTAGACAGAGCATGTGTGATACAAAACAGAACGCACGTGCAGAATCGCGCATGCGCAACGGTCAAGACTCACGGAAAACAGGGAGACAGAAGAAAACTAGACAATGGGGAAAAGCGGGGTATGACAGAAGGCTAGTTTGAAGCTATCTGGTATCATTTTTTACAGATTTAAATCACATTTTATGTCATTTAAAGGTATTTTTATATTGTAAAATTATAGGTTGTGCTGTATTGTATATGCAATGATTACTGCGGTGACATCAGCAGTATCTCAGCACATGTAAAGGTGGGGCTGTCGGTTCTAAACTCTAAACCACTAAAGCATCTTATTTTTTAATCTCCATTCTGTGGGGGATTTTTTAAAGGCAGTCTTAGTCTTTAACCACACACTTAAGGAATATAGCGTAGCAGATGGAGCAGAGAAAAAAAACATTAATGAAGATTAATGTTTCTGGAAATGTAGAAGATGAAAATTATTCTCACAAAAGCAAGAAAAAAACTGTAATTTTGAGGTTCACGTTGAGTTTTTGAGGCCAGAGGACACGGTTGAGCAGGAAGTTGTATTGTACAAAATCTTCTGCTCAAAGAAATCTGCTAAAGGACACATAATAAAGCTGAACAGCCACAGAAAATCTCAAAAGCTGTTTGTGTCGCTTAATTTGATGTCGTTTGACAAATAATCCAATGCAATGGATTGAAATCTGGAATTCTCGAATTTAATTGAATCAAATTTCTTAATAACTTTTTTTTACAGTAAAATACTAATCAAAACATGAAAACGTAACATGTAATTTTGTGTTATTTGATGGCTGACGTATTTTGATGATTCTCACACTTTGTCAGACGTGGGGATGGATTGATGTCTTGTCTTCGCTAAATGTCCTTCCACGAGCACAACCTGACCTCTGTTATCTCCCAGCACCCTCGGGCTCACACACGGCACTAAGCGATTCAGCCAGTGTCACCATGTTCAGTGACAATACACCACTGAAACCAATGGCGGAAGCAAGATCCGATCTCACTCAGAACCAGATCAGCGGCTTTTAAACACCACCATCTCTGCTAATATGTGCTTGTATATGCTAAGTGCTAGTGCATACTTACCTGTTATTGGCACGTTCCTGCCTGAGATCTTCCTCAAAAGGCCCTGTTCCAGTCATTCAGAAGCAAGGATGGGCATGAGAGAGTCTGAAACCCAGGTACTCTGGGTCTTATCCTGAACTCTGTGAGCTTTCCTGCTCTACTGCCCTCAAGACTTTAGAAAGATTTTGTTCCTTCGCTGCTAGTAGTGAGGTTTTGGCCTCAATTTTTTAGATTAGTTTTGGTTTTGTTTGATTTCTCAGCTTTACACCAGTGGCACCGTAAAAAAAACACCTTGATTTGAATTCCGTGGTTTGGTCTTCCTTTGTCCTGCCTGGTCTCCCCGAGTGGCTTCGCTGAAGTATGTTGATATCGCGGAATTGTTGATATATCCATCTGGAAGAGAGTTCTACGATTATCTAAGAAGCAAGCATTCCCAATCAAAGTGTGTTTCTGTTATAAAGGAAAAGACAAACCACTCAGGAGCTGTGAGATACCAGAAGGAAAAGCACTGAAGACAATAGCTTTTTCTCCAGCTCTTGATTCTAAAGAATCTGTTCAACAGAGTCAACTCCCATGCCCCACGGCTGGCTTCCCGTTTGAGTTAACAAAAAAAACCAAACATTCATTAAAGTTTCATTACCCTTGTGTGGTGTTCATGTTTTTGTTACTCAGCCAGTGTTTATGGGTCTGGTGGACCCGCTAGAGTTTTGGCTTTCCAAATTAACACTATCAAATAATTTTATGTTAAATAACTCAAACAATGTTTACTTCATCTCAATCACAAGCCATATGAACGGCAAACATGTTTGATTTTTTCCCCCTCTCACTTTTAGATCACATTGATGAAATAATGTGCTCCTCATTTTTTTTATTATTGTTGGGAATTGATCAGTTAATGTTATGAACTATTGATTTTTATTAATTTGAACTTCATTAGACATATAATTCATGTAACATATAACATTTTCCATAGCACAAGTTGAACACACCCATTAAAAACATCAATGGTGACATTAGGAGGGGAGGCGGTGCACACACTTATCCCACACTGTACTGATGGCAGCTAGCTTGTCAAGCTGATCTGTCCTCTTGTTTATCAAAACGAATAATCCTGAAAATTTTGTGGGAGTTTTCCAGAGACATTCTCTGCCAGTTTCTGCAGACCACAGTGAATCCAAAAGTAGGCCTGTAAATCAATTCGGTCCATGTCCTTCCACCTTTCTCCAAAAACACACCTTCCTTCTAGATTACTGCAATCCAGAAAATTTCCAGAATGGAATCTGGGTTGAAAAGCTCAAAAGAAGACTTGACGTCCTGCACATGAGTAACTGCCAGTCATGTTGGCCCTGGTTGCATCTTTATCACATTAGTGGCTCATTTCTTGGGCAAGAAGACCATTCAATTTCACCATTTTTGACATCCATATTTTTTCACTTGCTGTCTGGTGGGCTTGCTCTTGTCCTGGAGCTAGCTGCTGACAAGCTGGTCCTGGAGCTGGTTGCTGATGTGGTACTCGTCTTCGTTTTGTTACTAAATGCTGCTCAACTTCATTCTCTTCTTCAGTCACTGTCAGACTCAGAATTTTCAGAAATGTGATCCTCATATTCTGAAAACTCTTCCTCAACATCATCATCATCAGAAGCTCCTTTCTCTTCCAAAATCAATTGCAAGGCTAAAATCAATTACTGGCCATCTTGGTCAGTTGTGATAATGAACCACAATGGCAGTCTTATTTATAGTGTTATGCCCCTAATTTGCAGGTGGGACCGGGTATGAGAAAATAAAGCTTGGTTCCCGAAAGAGAGAGGGTAAATGTGCGGGAATGTAAGATCATCGTTGAATTTTCCACAATGTTGCAACTTTGTGTGGGAACTGGAGGTAGAGGGGAAGAAAACAGCAGCACCAGAAAGGAGGAAAACAGAGTGTAGTAACACTGGACCTACACTTTCAACACTTTTATTAGACCTGGGTCCAGTGGACCCGAACACCTTGCATGTAATG